GGTTTAGCAGAGTGAAAAAAAAAAAGATTTCACTGTAAACTGTTACTGTATTTCGTTGTTGCAATGAATTGTGACAGCATTATTTCATGAAGTCAATATATAAACTGCTCAATACAGTAGTAAAATTCGCGAATAAAAAAATAGATCTAATCCTCTAAGTAATTAGATAATGCTTTCATGCAGCATACAACTGGAACAACCACAGACCACCTACTCTACTCTTCTCTTGGTGTCTGGATCCTCCATCAATCACACAAATTGGGGAAATTTCTGAACCTTAGCCCCATCCCCCCAGAAAATAGCCTATAATCTTCACTGTTCTGACCTCTAGTATTACGTTACCTTTGAATGTTTGCATAGTGTGACCTCCTAACCCCATATATTGCGTGACCTCTTGACCCTGTGCATAGTTTGACCTCTTGACCCCGTGCATAGTGTGACCTCTTGACCCCGCGTATAGTGTGACCTCTTGACCCCGTGTATAGTGTAACCTCTTGACCTATGTATAGTGTGACCTCTTGACCCCCCGTATAATGTGATCTCTTAACCCCGTGTATAGTGTGACCTCTAGACCCTGTGTATAGTGTGACCTCTTGACTCCGTGTATAATGTGACCTCTTGACCCCTGTAAATAATGTGACCTCTTGACCCCATGTATAGTGCAACCTCTTGACCTATGTACAATTCTTGAAGCCTAATGACCCCGTGCATAGTGTGACCTCCTGACCCCCACGTGTATGTGACCTCTTGATCTCCATGTATAGTGTGACCTCTTGACCCCCGTGTATAGTGTGACCTCTGGGCCACTGTAATATAAGTCATGATCTACCTGACTCCATGTAATGTGACCTCTGACCCCTGTGTATAATGTGACCTCTTGACCCCTGTACGCAAATGTGACCTCTTGGCCCCATAACATAATGCAGCCTCTTGACCCGTGTATAGTGTGACCTCTAGACCCCGTGTATAGTGTGACCCATTGACCCCGTGTATAGTGTGATCTCTTGACACCGGCATAATGTGACCTCTTGACCCGTGTACAGTGTGACCTCTTGACCCCCTGTATAGTGTGATCTCTTAACACCAGCATAGTGTGACCTCTTGACCCCGTGTATAATGTAACCAGTTGACCCGTGTATAGTGGGACCTCTTGACCCCGTGTATAGTGTGACCCCTTAACCCCATGTATAGTGTGATCTCTTGACCCCGTGCATAGTGTGACCTCTTGATCCCGTGTATATATATGTGACCTCTTGACCCGGTGCATAATGTGACCTCTTCACCCCATGTATAGTCTGACCTCTTTACCCCAAGTACAGTGTGACTTCTTGACCCCGTGTACAGTGTGTTACGAACCACGCCATCAATTGTCATGATCTACCTACCCAGCACTACAAACCACGCCATCTATTGTCATGATCTACCTACCCAGCACCACGAGCAATGCCATCTAGGGACGAAACCCGTGTATGACTAGTCTTAGTTACCACTGCCGGGTTCCCTTCTCCATATCCTGGTTGTTGCGTCACCTCCTCCAAGTCTTCCTCATCAGCTCCAATTTGATGAGAGTTCAGTTCACTCTGGGAAGTGACCACAGGATCACCTATCCTGGAAACCTACGGCACAGTGACTACCTACTGTCTTCTTCTACAATACTCAGCCTTACTCGTCAGCCATCTCAGCTCCGCACTTAAGTATTTGTAATCTTATATTGCCTCTCCACCTCCACCTTGCTTCAAATTATCGTATGTTGTATAAATATGTATATGCTGTTAATGTTTAGGTTAAGTATGGTTAAGGGTAAATTATAGAAAGCTGAATATTTTGTTAAGGAATTTATGGTACTTTATTATACACAACTAAAACTCGCATCCTTTGTCTACCCTTTTATAGTCAGATTGCCTTTGTTTTTTATTGTTGTTGCCAGTTGGGATCTGGGTAGACTTTTAACTATATTCTAAATCCCCAACTCGTAACAAATGGCGACCTTGACAGGACACGACCTTAAGTGCCATATTTCTTCCCCCCTTTCTACTCCTTGTTAATTATTCCTCCCAGTCACTTCTGTTCACAATTGCTTTACGGTGGTTTAAAGTTCCCTTCATATGTGTGTGCATATATTGGTATTAT